TCTCTCTTCTTCCTGCTGGTAACACCACTACAACCATCAGTGCTTTCCACAGGCGTGTCATCCCTTTGATCTGCTTCACTTGTCTTGTCTTTCTTGGAGCTCTCACTTGCCTCGATATCACTTACTTTCTTCTTGTCTTTCTTCTTCTTCTTCTTTCTCATGCTACTATCCTCTCTGGTTTTATTCTTGCCCCTTTTCTTCTTCTTGCTGCTGTCCTCTGTTGACTTCACGTCTTTTTCAATACATGTTCCATCCAGTCGCCCTGGTTTATTCTCAACATCCGCTTCCACCAAACCTTCATCACCAGTAGCAGTTTCATCCATCCCACAAACTTCATCGCCAATCTCAACCTTGTGTGTTTTCTTTTTCCTCTTCTTCGTCTTCTTAACGCTCAGACAACCGTCACTGCCGCTATCTTCAAGTTCTGCTTTTCGCTTCTTCTCCTTTGCACTTGAATACATAAAAAAACACACAACTAGAGTTATAGCATAATATAACAAGCAATACCAATTTTCTATCACAGACATTACCAAACATGAGATTTTGTACAGAATCTGAGAGAACCCAATTCAGAAATAGAGAGATACCTTTCTTCGCCGACTCCCTGCATTTTATATCTCGCCATTGAGAAGCCAACCTCCCAAGTTAAGAGATTAAAATTACAATAGCTTCCTTCTTACAGGTGGCAGTTTTCTTCTGATAAGAACACAAATCCGATTGTGAGGAACACATATTATAGAATAAGTATCATCATATGTTTCACCGCTAAACCAGTCCATATTTTCAGAAAATCTAAATAATTCACTACTAAACCAAAACTAAATCCTTGGGAGTAACATTCCGAAAAGCAAGAGCACATACCGATTTATGAAGTGTGTGAGAAAGGACCCCTCGAGTTCCTTCCTCCTGATCAACAGCCACTCTATATAAGCAAAACGAAACACGAAGATCTAAGATACTGAAGGAAAACCATATAGTCATATACACTAAATGCCAGAAGCATTACAAATGAAACTATAACCAAAGACAAACCATGAGATAATAAGCAATCTCTAAACATAACCCATACCATATGCCTCCCTATCAAAACTATTACGAAAAAAGAAACCCACTTGTGTTATGAACAACCATATCATGAATCATGTATCCCAGTCATTAACAACCATATCAACCAGAGAATCGATCATATGACATAATAGACTACAAAAACATATCAGAGTGTGAAGATTAAGCTGCTTACTGGTAAACGAGCAGACTTCTTTTCCGGGGGAAACAAGTAAGCCTTTCGTCAAAGCTGGTCTCTCATAAGGTGCATAAGCCTAAACACAAACAAACCCAAAAAAATCCAATGATCACAACAGATTAAACTTTTAAGCAACCCACAAACAAATCGATCTTGAGAACACTCGATTAAAGTCTTAAGCAACCCACAAAAAAAGGATTGATCTTTAGAACACTCGATTCAATCACCTCTTTGGTCACAATGCAGAGCCTACCATCAGCCATTCCAT